CTGTTTATTTTTAGATTTCACCAAAATGCTCCCATTATTGTTTAGAAACTCTGTGCTTTTGAAAAAACAAACGTGTCACAACATTAGGCATTTCATTATTTTGAAAAAAAAACTTTAACCTTTTAGGAGAAATGTTTTCAAACTATGTGGATACTGTTCATGAGTTTATCTTTTTTAATTAACTCACAATGCTCTGGTTTGCTGTCTCTAAGCACGACCAGGCTTTTCGTATTAAATCATTACAATATTCTGCAACATTACACTTAAGATTTTCCTTATGCTTGAATCTTTTATTTAAACAAGCCTCAATATGTTGTTACCTACACAATATTTGCTTTGATAGCTAAATCTTGCTTCATACCACATTGGGTTACATTCATTCCAGTGTTGATGAGGAATCTCTTTCATTTTAATAGGATTTTCTGTGTTGAGAATGATTTTTTAAAATTTCAAATGGAAGTTAAACAACATTTTGAAAATAAGTTATTTTGAATGGGTATTTTCTACTACAGGATTTATCCTAAACGTTTGGCTGGGGTTACATGTACACTATTAAAGACCCTACATTTGACTTTTGATATTGCTGAAAACACAATTGTGATGAATAAACGAATCAGTCCAATTCCTAATGTACCCTTCATTCCAATATCATTATCATTGCCATTACCGAAAGCTTTATCTTAACTTGATGTAAGAGAAACACTTGTTACTTGGTAATGAAGAGGAGATGTTTACTATAGCATTACACAAAGCATTCAGATGGGTTACAACATGTTTAAAGTCAATGTCATTATCAGTGTAAAGGACAGTACGCTAGCTAATCTTTACCTAACCATTACGGGGTGTAGATGTGGAGATGTCCTTGCCTTTATGTATCAAAGGACCAACTGGTTTTATGAGAAAGCTGTTAGCCGTCTTTGCCAAACAATAGCTGCACATTGATTGTGATTTCTGTATTTTGGACCTGGAACCACTTTGGTATATTTTCAATTGTGTTTAAATCTCAATGTCCTATTCTCGCTAAAGCTGTCCCTTAATAATTTAATGTTGAACTGCCTCTGGAGACTTTCGAAAGTGAAATCTACGTTACAAAAAAGAACATTTGCCAAATGACCTCTGAAAGCCACACAGGTAATAGGTCTCTCGACAAGAACATTAACCATCATCTCAGCAGTTTATTGCTCATGTAAGAAAGTAGTTTAGGAAAATACTTAAAGAGTCCCTGCCTCGATTTGTTGGTGATGAATATGACGCCCTGCTGTGTGGGGAGGGGAACGGATAAATACAACAACTTCCTCAAGGCCAAACAGGAAGTCTTGAATAAGCCCCTTCCACAGGATGAACATGCAGGGTCTCTCCCGATTTCCACGTTTAATTGGCTTAACTTGCACTTGGGCAATAACACAAATACCAGTCAGAGCTACAGTACTGCTGTATGTGTCGGTTAAGGCAGACATACACATCTCTAGGCGGTTGAGATCTGCCAATAACTCCATCAAACCACAGTCTCGTCCAGAGAAAGGCTTTCATAAGGCAGGAAGGTGTCGATGTATTTCTCTGTAGATTTCATGCTGTTTCTAGCACGTGTTACACTGGAAATGTTGCTCTTTTTTGTATATAGCGCTTGTTTAATTTGTGTAAGGCATGGAGTGTCTGGCAAGCAATATAAGCTTCGAGTTAAAAGGATACTCAAAATGTTACCATGCATTGGTTTGAATAAAAGATAATATTCTGTTCTGTTCCACAGTGTAGTAGTATTTGTGAAATGCACTTGTATTGTGGAAACTGACTGATATTATGACACCACTGTTTTTCTTAAATAAATAAATTCTTTTATTACAAAACAATAAAAAAACATATTGCAAATAGTGGTACACAATTTGGTTCTACATGCATACATTGGCTGGTTGCAGCTATGATACAGATCATCAAGTACATGTTTTTTAAATCTTTAGCTGTCAGACAGGAAGATCAGTTTAATCTGAATGATCTGTTTGGTAGGATATCACATGACGGGGTCTGACCACATAGTGAAGTGAAATGTCACCTTGAATTAACATTTTAATCTTTGGCCGACGCATATACAACTAATCCATATTAAATGCCTTGTGGATTCCATTTGGGTCGATTTAGATAATTTAAAAGGCACAAGAAAAGTAAAATAAAAAAGAGAGGCTTTTAGTCAATGTATAAAGTGATACGTAAGAGAGAAGCATTTCTCTTATCTGCTGGCTGTGAATTCAAGTCCAGTAACCACACAAAATGCACCAAAGTGAAATACCACTTTAAAGGAATAGTTTGACATTCTGTATTTACTTTTTGCTGAGAGTTAGATAAGAAGATCGATACTTCTCTGTTTGCCCGGTAAATATAAGGCTGGAGTCAGCAGCCAGCAGAAAGAAGGGTGAAAGACATCATTCACAATTTTATGGGAGGTTATGTCCTCGACTATATCTTACAGTTATTTCCCGGATTCTCCACTGTTTGGCTTTCAACTCCTCCAACACAAGTAATGGTCCGTAACATGAGTAACATAACCCCCCGATAACACAGTACATTGTTGCTTTGTCTGGCAAGCAATGTGTTACCTTAGGGCTGTGTAGGGCCCCCCTATAAGTTACTCAACTGGCCAAAGACTGTAGATGTATTATAAATGGACAAACATCTGTCGTCTCATCTAACTCAAAAAGAAAATAAGCACATTTCCCACAATATCAAAATATGCGTTTAGATATAGATTAAAACTAATACTGCAGTATGAGAGGAACAGTGGTAATGTGTCCGTTGATAATACATGTGTCCAGGTTGTATAGAGGGGAAATACCTTCAAACATCACTTATTGACAACAGCTGTGAAAAGTAAAGTCTGTTCAGGGTATTTACAAAGTGTCCATGCCAGCAGGGTGGGTGTGTTGGGCGGTGTCAGTCCTCTCAGGATGTCCTGGTCCGTAGAGAGCTCATCCTGAGCACCGTGAGCTCGGCTACATCTGCATCCTGCATCTCCTCCTCCTGGTGGCAGCTTTCTCTGACGACATACACTACGAGACCCGCACAGATGAAAATGAGGAGGATTATGCCTATAACCTGGGGTACAAAAGAGTATGTTTAGTTAACATCCACAGCAAATGCATTCTTTTGATTAACAAAGCGTATACTATGATTAGTTTCAAAGGCTAATGGCATTACATATATTCTCTACAGCGTATACTCGGGGGAGGTGTTTCCACTCCACTCATCCTGCACTCTTCTGTATACTAGAAAATATTCAACTGACCTGAGAAAAAACAAACAGCTGCTGTGATCGGAGCATCAGTTCTTGTGGGGTGACATCTCCCTCGTTAATTGGCTCACACCACTTCTGCGGAGCTGCTTTGTCAACTATTACAAATCTACCCTCCCAGTCTGTCATAGCACAAGCAAAGTATTGGCCATCGAGGAACAACAAAATCAGCCACACGATAGCAGGAACGAAGCTGGAGAGGGAAACATTTTTCCTGCACCACGTATCACATCTGCATCCTTGAATGATCAGCATCAACGTGAAGGCCATGACAGCAGGAATGATGAAGAAGGCTGATGAAAAAACTCCGTTCCACGTAGGGTTGCAAGGACACTCAAACTCCAGCTCCACCAGCTTCTCTAGTCCCATGAGGATGAAGCCAAAAGCCACATTTGATACCAGAGGACTGTTGCTAAGTTCATTTTTCAGCCTGGTAAGCCATTGTTGTCTACTTTCCATACTAGATTGACCGAGAAATGAAGACAACCGCTGCAAAAAGCCCAAAAGAGGGTCCACCGTTGTGAACACATTGGCAACAGCTATGTGATGCGTAATTAACTCATCCAGGGGTAAGTTTTCCCCTCAGGCCAAATGCCACACTTCCACTCTGATTGGTTTCGAACAAAGGAGGGTGTGCCGACGGCTCTGACATTTCTCTAGCTGATTGGTCTGTGCGAGGTTTCAGGTGGGGTTACATTTGAAATGTGGTCTCTCATGGACAAACTGGAGGGAGGGCTGTAAAGTGGAGGGAAGTTTGTTCTGCAGTTGAGCACAGACTGTCCCTCTGCAAACAGTCCGGCCAAAAAACCTGCATGGACATGTAGGTATTTATCACAGGGCAAGACTTTACATTGAATAATCAAGTTACAGGCACGCTTTTTTACTCAAACCTAACACAAGAAGGAAGTGTTGCAATTAAATAAATAGTGTATTTTAAAAAAATCAACTAATTAAAAAGACTGGTTATAATATATTAAAGTCCTCAGGGTTTTTTTTTTTATGTCTTAGTATTGGCATTACAAAGTGAATACATGCTGACTGTTGATGTCACCCCACATGGCCACATGAGGTCACCCATGCTGCAGCACAGATTAAAGACAGAGAGGATTACAGGAGGCCATGTTGAACTTTCAAGGGGGATGTGGTACATACAGCTTGAGAACACCCAGGCCACCGATGTGATGACATAATTTGTAAATGACCTCAGTGAGCTCAAGAGCATCACCATAATCTCCTCACATTAAAACCTGACAAGAGAAAGTATTTAGGCTTGGAATGATGGGACTGCTGAAAACTGTGGCTGGATTGCCTTCAGTTTGTTTGCATAACCAGGGCCAGTTTTTGATAAAACTACTCCAATATTGACTAAAGACATGTAACCTGCAGGCATTTGTGCTGCATGGTTTGTGACAAATCCGATTTGACTGGTAGTAAACGAGCTGACAGTTTATGGGTACATTAATATTGCAAGGGATGTTGGAAATAGTAAGGGAATCATAGGCTATTACTGTCGACCAGTTCAGTAGCCTAAATACTGTATGAGCAGAAACAACCTGCTGTAAACGGGACATTTTTAAAACCATCTCGTTAAATAACAATTAAAGTTGACCAGGAAATGAAGGCAGATAATATGAGTTCACAAACAACATCAATTGAATGCGTGCTGTGTGTGTGCATGTGTGTATTTATCCACGGTCATGCGCGCATAGGGTACGCGCAGCTCGTCGTTGCTGAGTCCTGCCAGCATATGTTCCTCTTTTTTTTGTATTGGAACACACACTTATGTTTCGGCTACATCACTTCTCGTGGGGAATAATTTGTGCGCTATACTTTTATTTGTAACCACCGAACCGTGACCGCGAGTGCGCAAATGCGCATCGGTCTGCGCATCTTTGAATCTACAGAACTACACTGTGGACAATCTCCCTGACATCCGGAGACCTCTCTCCGCAATCCGACGAGGCTTCTTCATCGCCTATGGCCGCACATCGGCATCCCTGAGCCGCTGGCCTCGTCCCGGACCTTTCACCCATCGCTGTCCTCAGAAAGTCTTTGAAGCAGGGAGGCGTCTTACATATTTTGTAAAATTATCCACCGCTGACAAAAAAAAATTAAAGAACCCGGTGCTATGCAGGGCCCATCTCTCTAGATCTTGTGATTAATACACGATCTCTCCTCCCACATTCGTCCGGCCGAGACCCTGGTCCTCTCTTCGAACCCCAGCAATGCATCCTAACGCAGTGATACTGGCGCTGGTCCTTTTGGGGAACTTGATGCTGCCTCTCATCTCGGCTCAAAACGGTAAGAAAAGCAGATGTGACCCTGGTGTTATTGTAAACATCGCGTTGAGGGAAAGTGACTTGACTTGTGCGAGGACGCCCGAGCGAAATGTAAAGACTGCGTTAAAGCTACAACTGTAATTTCACGCATCTCGACAAAACAAGGCCAGAGTAAGACGCCAGCAAATATGATAGAATATGAACACACAACGGAACTCTTAACGAATACACCAGGAGGAAACTAACGTTTGTGTGATTTGTGTGCAAGGTTATTGCCTGTCAACTGTGTCTGTGGGAGGAATATGCGGTCAAATGTGATTTAAAATAGACTATAGCTGGGGGAAAAGTGATGTTTGCACCTGCATAGAATTATTCCTGAATATTTACAATTAGTAGTGGCCTCTGGGAAGCCTTAGGCTGCATGCCAGTGTGCGGTGTGTTTAGTTAAAGGGGGTTGGGTAGAGTGTGTCAAGCAAGACTAACCTACGGATGCTGATCCAGTCATATATTATCTACACCCAACACAGGATTAAGACTCGCCCAGTGTGTGGAAATAGGTCTACTGTAAATACCAGGCCCATTATGATCACAGTTTTTGGGACTATAGGCATGTTTTTTGACACTTGACTGACAAAACTAGTCCACTATAATATTACGTGTTCTATTACACATCCTCACATGGATCTTTCTCCCTTGCCTTACTGGTTCAGTGTGTGCTTATTGCACAACTATGCATGCACAGATAAATCCCCTATTTACTTTTAGTGATTATAATGCAGCACTAGTTGTTTTCTCTATTCTCAATATTCAAAGACAGGGAATATGGGATTTGTTAACATAGGATTTTCAGTTGTGACTTTGATTTCTAAAGTTCACTGTGCATTATTCATACTAAACCTGACATGATTTGGTTTAAGTAAATGTCAGTAGCATGCTGTTGGGTGTTTCAGGCTGCCCTCCTCTGACACAGCATGTCCTTACTTCAAATTCTGTTGAATCACATCACCCAGAGGGCCACACAAATCAGCAGATAAAATGCATGAGATAAAAGTGTTATCTTTTCAATCTTTCTGGGGTTCGGTTTTTCGATCTCTGAGCAACTCACATGTGATTGTGAAGATGTTGATGCTTTAATATACAAATTGAAAAATCGCTGCCTGTATTCATATCATTTGTAGGAAGCTACCCACGTGTCAGACCATCTGCGTTCATAAATCAATATCACTGACATGATCTAATCGTCTTTCGGAGAAAAACAAGGCAGGGATTTATCCGCATACTTCAAATGTTAGAGCTTAATCTCGACCTCGACTTTTCTGTCGGATAATCGGACACCCACTATGCAAGACTTAATAAGAAAGTCATCCTTAGGAGAAGGTGGTGTAAAACCTCACAACGCTGAAGTAGTTTTTGGATCTATTTAGCAAAAATGTGAATTATTTCTGTCGATACAAACGAAACTTAGCATTATACATTTTAAGAGTTTGCTCTATTTGTTGTACTATGTATTTCTGTGCAATACTAGACAAACAATATGCAAATCTAGCTACCTCTGGGAACCCACGAATACACCACAGCAGTTATAAAACTAAATATTATCCCCTGAATTCCTTTCTTTTCTTTTTAATTTCTCTCAGGTGCTTGAAGTGTGTGCATGCACAGCGAGATGTTCTCTGGTCTTGCAATCTGGAAAATGAAATACCAAATAAGCCCTCCATTGTTTGATAAAGCTCAAGAACTTCAAACTCCACACACTTCCTGTGGTCTCTGCCCACTCACTGAGGCCCAGTTAACGACAAAGGAACACACACATACACACACCCGGAGTTCAGTTGGAGACAGACTGGTTCCACACTGTCACCAAAGATATGGGCGCTTTATCTGTTTGATATAGAATTCCTAAAGTCTTAGCTTATCTGCAGATTTCCTTTTCAGTCAATAGGCCTCTCAGGTTTGATCACATTTGTAATAAGCGACATGTCGGATTAAACAGCGTTGGTAATATTCTGATATTTGCTCACATCCCATGCATCGCAAAGCCATTTCATTTCTTTCCCATATTTCAGTATGAGGTTAATAGGTGCATGGCTTCTTATGCGATCCTAGATTTTCCTGTGGTAATACAGAGTTCAGGCAGTAGCATGTGGGTGTATAATAATTATAAGTGCATAATCACTGTATCTGAGAAGCAGAGGGGATTCATGTCATTATTTCCTCATGTGAGAAGCAGGCCTACTATGGGTGGCCAGTCTCTGCGACAGATATTTGGAGGACTGTAAATAGCATCCGTCCATTCTGCCTCGTTTCTATTTTTACCACCGAGACACAGCACTGAGAACTGTGGCTTTAAGGTCCTTTTGTGAAAGTGAATTCATTAACTCTTAATGGAAGGCCTCCTTGTGCACAGCTGCACAGCCTTCTAAAGACTCGCTAGGTGGCTGTGAACCGTCTAATCTGAGGGATGATGTGATCTTTATGCAAAGAAAATAAAAGCATCTGAGAAGGTGGCTGGGTCTGACCTAAGGAAGTGCTTTTTCTGTCTTATATAAGTTCCCCACACGATGTAGCCTGCCCCTGCTGCCACTTTGTTGATGTGTTATCGCTGCCTGTGTGAATCAGAACATCAAGACAAGCTTTAGAATAATGAGCTGATACTGTAACCTCTATGTTAAAAATGAAATCTGTATTCTAGTTTTCTCTCATTTGATTGATTGATACATTTTATTTCGAACAAGTAAAATGACAAAAACAAAACAAATGTTGCACTGCATAGTCATGTAAAACAAATCAAAACCAAATACATGACAAAACAAAAAATGACATTTACAGCATTAGCAACATAAACAGTGCCACATCTAATGTTCGAAAAGGAGTGAGAAGAAGTATAACTTATTTAATCTCACCCCCTTGTCCCTAAATGATTTATTTATAATTTGTAATCTGCAATAATTATCATTTTTATGCATTATTATTGATATTATTAGAAGTATTAATCGGCTTTATCTGTTGATTGACATATATACATATACACATATACATACATACACTGATATACATATATGCACACATACATATACACACCTACATACTCACACATATACACATAGTCAAACACCTTCCCCATCCCTGTATCTCGAGTGAATAATAAATGTAAGGCTAGCAGCAGCTTAATTAAAAGATTGGTTCTTGTTGGATTTTTGATAAAATGTCTTCTTAATATTTTGTAAAATACAAGACATGATGCAAAGAAAGCTATGCATTGCAATATGTAACTCAAGTATAATGTATTGTTTTTTGTGAATAGTGGCCCCTAATTCCTTCTCTATGTCACATTTGCATTATGATCAACATTGCAGATAAGCTACATACAATGAAATCAATAGTCCTACAGTATATGATGCAGCAGCTTGTCCATTATAATGTATCATACCAGCTCCGGACCGAGGCACATTTGTGAGTCTGGAAAATATGCTGTAGGACTCAAGCCAGCTCTAACACTGAGTCACGCTTTCCCACTGTGAAATCTGATATGGACTGCACTGATTAGGAGGAGCATCCCACAGTATAAAACACACTGCAGGTACATTTGTCCAGGGAAGGTTTTTGCTGAGCATGCATGCTGCTTCTTTGAGCACCACCCTGCTTCACATTCATACAGTTACACACATTCACAGCTGGAAGTTTCCCAATTTGAACACAGCCCTGCACTACTGGCTGATCTGCCGGGACAGCTCAGGTTAAGTGTGCTGCACAAGAGCAGTTCAGAGACAGAATACTCAAAGGAGGTCTCTTTCATTTAAACCTGGCCCCATTTCCCCCGTCTGCCTGAGTATTTTAACTACTAACCTCGCAGACACGGGGTTAGCTCATGCCAGCTGACACTCAGCAAACCAGGGTCATTGAAGTTGAGGAATAATATTACTTGGCAGTATGCAGGAGATTGAGGGATAGCATTTGTCACTTCTGCATAGAGCACTTCTGAGGGTGTGGTTCTTGTCATTTTAGAATGATAGTGTTATTTCGATCTGTCTCCTTGCTTCTTAGGTTTTACATCAAATCATTTGAATTCCCATGTTTTGACCTCGGAAAGAGGAATAGGAAGTGCTCGGTGGTTGTGATTAGAAAATGGGATTAGAGCATTTCTACTCAGCACAGGGGTTATTGGGATTTAAATCTCATTAAACTGTTGCCTCTCTCCTGTGATCTGAATGACAGACTCACGTATTACCAGCAAAATGGAAATGGTCGCCTGCTATGTCGGAAAATTCAGCTTTGCAAAGACTTTTTGTCACGTCGCTCCATTGCAGTTACATCAAAAGGGGATAAATTCAGTGAGGAAAAGTATAGCCGCTCTGTCATGAGTGTATTCAGAGCTACACCTCACCGCAGCCTCTCTGACGAATCTAACTGCACACCACATATCACACCTACAAAGTGTATTGTAAGTTATTATAGTTGTTAAAGTTATATTACATAACTTCTACACATTGAATACAATTTGCCCTGAATTATATGCCACTATTGATGTCACTACATTTGCTTGTAGGTACATAAAACGGCCTTCAAGCGTTATAAAATGAATTTAACTGCACAACAGCTGCTAGCAAAGACAACAAGGTCAGCAATGCCTGTAATTCATCATCATGTTGAATTAACAACTGGTAGTCACATGGTAATCTAAGGATGAGGGTGTTTGTGTTCTTCCTGAAAAGTGTCATGTAATACAGGCGTGATGAATCAGAGAGGGACACGTGGTGAGGTGATCAAATCGTATCGGGAGCAATTTGGGTGTCATCGTCTTCAAAAGTCTCCATACAAGCTAAAATGGAGTCAGAAGCGTTACATTGTTAGGGGTAGTGAAACCCCGGAGAAGTGTGGATGGCTGAAAAAAGCAAAAACATTTACAGAAACGTTACTGCTGATGTTCAACTGACAATTCAAGTAATGAGCTATGGCAATTCATTTTCAGAGGTATAGAAATATGTCAATTTAAATTCCAAACGTTTACATTTCTTACACACC